TTAAGATGTATTTGTGTATATTGACATTTTATTTTTCCATAGAATAATAGTTAATTAAGATGTATTTGTGTATATTGACATTTTATTTTTTCATAGAATAATAGTTAATGAAGATGTACTTGTGTATATTGACATTTTATTTTTCCATAGAATAATAGTTAATGAAGATGTACTTGTGTATATTGACTAGGGGTACACACAGTTCAGTTCATGAACTCCGTTCAAATGAACTAAAGAACCGATGGCATAGCTCAGTTCACCGAAATGAACTTATTAAAACAGTTCACTTTATGTGAACTGAACTATATAGACAGTTCAGTTCAACAAACTGAACTTATTGAAACAGTTCAGCTCACGTGAACTGAACTGTCTAAAAAGTTGTTTATACGCTTTAGTACATGTAAACTGACGTGTTTCAATAAGTTCACTTCGTTCAAATGAACTGTTTACACAGTTCAGTTCACGTGAGCTGAACTGTTTCAATAAGTTCAGTTCGTTGAACTGAACTGTTCAGACAGTTCAGTTCGGCGAGCTGAGTTTTCTGAAAAAGTGAACGGTTCTGAACTAGAACTGAACTATGTGTACCCCTAATATTGACATCGTATTTTTTCATAGATTAATTCCCTCGACTCAAAGAAGGGTGATACGAAAAAAACGAAAATGCGTTTGTCTGTCTGTCTGTATGTGCCAAGGTCAAAAAAACATCGAAAAATATAATTAACACTGATCATCAGTACAATTCTAAGGGAAAAGAATATTGAAAGTTGTACCTGCTAGATTTTGTATGTGATTTTGTTGCCAATATAGATGCGAGAATAATTTCTCTGATAATGAGAGTACACAAAATACTAATCGGAATATTATATCTCTTCTTATGATACCAATGACGCCTTATAAATATATGTATCGATAATTAGAAAAAAACAAGATAGAACTTACTGAATTTTTGGATAAATATATGCACCAAAGTAAATGTAAATATGCTATGAATTTAAAACAAATAACAGATATTCTTTGACATACCTGAAAATAGTGGTTCAAGTAATACTTTTTCAGGTCTAACTTGTTTCAAATGAATAATATAAAGATCAGGTGCTGGACTCAATTGTGATTGAACAATCATATGAGTACCAGGTAGAAGAAGAACTTCATCTTCTGTACTAAAATGTTAATGATTACGTATTATTCGACCATTAATAGTTTCCACAGAGAATAACGTTCGATTACCACTATTTCCTAAATACAATTCGTTCTCGAGAACAGTCATTTCAGTAGTACATGATAAAAATGCCCACCATATGACTTGAGTACCGACAGAAAATTCTACAGTTAAATTTCTAGTTACTCCTCGCCAAACAGTCATTGGTGGAACACATGGTAGTTTAACGAGAGCAGTTAAGAATAGTTTGAGATACTTAAAATATGGTCGAAGAGCTTCATGATCATTGTTTTTAAGAGCTCGATTGATCATTGAATAGAGACTTCGATATGATACATTCCATTCGAATGTATACAGACGAATTGCAGCACTTTCATCAATTGTTAATCCATCAGATGGTTGTTCTGGTGTTTCATCAAGTATTAATTTAATATACAATGATAAATCATCGATGATATTTTCAAGTGGAGCACATGCTTTATAAAGTGGTAGAAGAGGCTCTTCTGCATATTCTATAAGAGGATCAAGATTTGTTCCAATATAATTTATAAGATTCGATGTCATCGATTTTTTCCCATAATATCATCTTTCACAAGTCGACGTTTTTTTATGATACTGCCATCTCGAATGTCATCAGAATCTCTCATTACTTTCATATCATTTATATGCGATCGATCATTATTGTCCTCGACTCTTTTGTTCACAACATTTCGATGATCATTGAATTCTTCCTCAACTATTGCGATTGGTATCAGCTCGAATCGGTCATCGTTTCTTATCGTTTTTTTGTTCAATATACGACTTTCCATATTTAATTAATATCAATGCTACAAAAAAAGAAACAATTAGAATTATAGCCGAAAATAATAAACAGCGAGTTCAGTAGAAATAATTATTTTATAAAATTACAAAAATGGGATGTAAATAAATACTAAGAAAGAAAAAAAACATGATGAAAATATACCCTAGGAAGTATTATAAAAAAGAAGCTTATATTATTATCATCGTTATAATTAAAACGCAAATATTGAGTAATAGAAGGATTGATTTGATTGTTATATAAATAAAAATATGTGATA